CTCAAGGTGCTGGGCACTTCACGCCATGTGTTAGTTCCTTCTTCATATCAGGAGCTTCTCCCAGCTCAAGCAGCTGCTCAGTCCGATCTCCATCAGCTCTTAGCACAGCACTTGGCATACGGTGAAAACTCAGTAAAGACTTGAAAAGCCCAATACTTCTACAAGAGTTCCTCATTGTGTCGGAGAACTTTAACCATCCATCAAAATCTGTTGTCCCATTTTGGGCCACACAACTGGATGGTATTTTCAGTCACCTTCGAGGCAAGATGACCCTGTCACTGCCAGTGGAAGAGGACAGGAATGACGAGTGCCATTGCAGACCCGGCTGACACAATCCCCCACCGTGTATTTCTCTCAGTTCTGTGCCCTCGGGCTGATGAGCTGACATCCTGGGGATGGAGAAGGCACGTGATGGACCATCTCTGGGTTCCAAATGAGCAGGTGAAGGGGTGAATCTCTCCAATCTTGTTATGTGGGGAATGTATAGTGGGGGGGCGGTTATTCGTCATAAGTTAATTTAACCAGGGAAGATAATATAATCACAGAATTAGCTTAAGTAGTTATCAATCGAGTCCATTTAAAATGACCAAAGTCAGTTTTTCTCTAAGAACTGAGCTGGTAGGTAGGGCAATGGGCCCTTTTATCTGCTCTCTCAGCCACTGTGCCCTCCAATTGTGCTAAAAAGTACCCACAAGTTCTCTGCCCTCTAGGAGCTCACAGTCTGGAGGGGAAGGTGGACACAACCACGAAAACACAAACATGTGAAGGGAAAGAACAACTTCTGTGTGGAAACCGAGCAGGCGCTACGAGGAGGCCTGGAGGCCACTGGGTGAAGGGCTAACAATCTGCACTGAGCTGACATTTCTATTCCCAGCAGCATGACCAGGAGGAGCCAGCCTGCACAAACTCAGGCCTGTGCAGCCTGGCAGAAAGCACAGCTGTGCAGACACTTGGGGGCAGAAGGAGTCTGGACAGAGAGGAGGTTAGAAAGGAGGTCGGTGTGGCTGTGGGAGCCTGGGAGGAGGCGGGGGAGGGAGGGAGGAGGGCAGGTCCAGGGCCTGGCACAGAGAAAACCGCACTAGTGATCTACTGCTGTGTGACAACATTGCCCCACACTCACTGACATAACCAGCACTTATCATCTCACGGTTTCCTGGACGAGGGACCCAGCGTGGCTCAGCTGAGTGCTTCTGCCAGTGCCTGTCAGGAGGCTGGGGGTGCGGTCTCACTTGAGGCAGGATCTGCTGCACTCAGGACCTGAGCCTACTGCGGGCTGTTGGCGGGATTCAGTTTGGATGGAAGGCATGACTTCCTCTCTGTCTGTTTCTCTCTTTTGGTATTAGGCCATGTGGGTCTTTCCCAGTAGCAATTCATAAAACAGGGGCTTAATCCCCAGAGTGAGGGAACTGAGAGAGAGAGAGAGAGAGAGAGAGAGAGAAAACACACAGGTCAGAGTGAGCAAGGGGCTAGGCACCGACTTTTTATAACCAAATCTTGGGAGTGACCTTGGATCACTTTGCCATCTTCTAAGGAGTCACCAATGCAGTCCACACTTAAAAGGAGGGCGCACGTCCACATTACACAAGGACGTGCCACCAGGAGGTGGGGATCGTGGGGAGACACTGAGAGGAGAATTGGAAGGTGCTCAGAAGTCTGCGCTTTGCCCAGATCACAGACTGGTCTGGATGCAGAGTCAGGGATAAGGCCAGCTCTGTGTCCCCAAAGTTGGGGTCTTGGCTGCACCCAGGCTCTCTCAGGGGCTCTGGAGTAGGCTGTGCTGGTGTGACCATGTGCAGACATGGAGATGGCACAGGGGAGAGGGCAAGCATTTGGGAACCTAGGCGGGCGCTTGGCCAGTCCTTGTCTGAGGAGAGCCCAGGTCAGTGTGCACCCCGTCCTCTGCCCACCCAACCCTCTGGGAGCTCAGCAGTCACTTCTGTGATGCTGTCTTGGGGTACGGCCATTGCCCCCCATGTCCTTGCACATGTCAGTTCCAGCTCTGGTGACACACACAATTGGGTTGTTATGGTCCCCCCTGGCTGAACTTTCTGAGATCCGTGTAGCTGCTCAGTTACACTGTGGTCCTTGAACCCAGTGTGGGGTGAGCTAGCAAGTGAGTTGCCCTTGGAAAGTGGAAGGCAAAACATGCAGGAATTCTGAGCAGGGAGAAATCTGTGGTCAGGCAGGTGAATCAGAAAAATCGTTTTCGGGGACATCCTGTGAACAGGCCTTGAGGCACCGCCCGGAACGGCTCTGGAGGTGGAGGCGCAGGCGGGAAAAGCAGGACGGGTGGCTGTGGCTGTGGCCGGCAGGGCTGTGGCTGGGAAGGGCTGTGGCCGGCAGGGCTGTGGCAGCGGTGGCACCGCTGGCCTCCGATAGCAGTCCGGGCAGGGGAGAAGGCAGAAGCGCTCCAGGACATTCACTGGAGAGCATTTGGGCAGAAGACCAAGGAGCCTCTCAGGAGGTAACACTAACTCCAAAGGCTGGAGCAGGCTCCAGGCGTAGCCCTCGCTGACCCGCAAGGGGCAGAAGAACCATATGCGGCCCGGGAGCAACTCCTCTCTGCTCCTGCCAGGCCTTTGGTGCCAGGTCTGAGCCACAGCCCGTGTCAGCTGCCGCAGCAGAGAGGGTCCCCCTTAACTGCAGTTTTTTCGTTTTTGTGTTTATCTTACCTCATACTTAGAATGGAACTGCAGTTTCTGCAGTATTCAGTTAAACTAAAAAGTATTTTAGATAACATCTCATAAACTGTTAATAAAAATAAAATTAATTTAAATGCAAAAAATAAATACACTTCATTTAACTATGACTTTTCAGAGTGTACATTCCAGCAGCATTAAGTACGTTCACAATTTTTCACAACCGTCACATCACATCACAACCACTCTCCAGTTCCCGCACATTCTCCTGCCGGTGTGGGAGGTGCTGGAGCTTCCGTTGGGCTGGAGGACGGGGGTTGGCAGTGCCTGGTGTCTCACAGGCGGCGGAGGTGGTGTCAACTCATTTCTGTCTTTTTTGTCCCCAGCACATAGCACGCATGGCTAAATTTGGAAGAAATATCAGTATTAAAGAGTTGACCTTGAACTGTATGAGCCTAGAGTAATTTAAATGGCTACTAGTAGTGGATTAATGAAACATATTTTGATACATGCAAACAAATGATCACTCTGCACTCATTAAAAATCAGGCAAACCCTGTCTGGTGTGGCTCAGTGGATTGAGCACAGGCCTGTTAGCCGAAGGGTTGCTGGTTCAATTCCCAGTCAGGGCACATGCCTGGGGTGCTGGCCAGGTCTCCAGTGGGGGGGGCATGTGAGAGGCAACCACACAGTGATGTTCCCCTCTCTCTAAAAATAAATCAATAAAATATTTTGAAAAAGCAGGCAAGCATTGGTTTAGTATGTGAGCAGACATGCACAGCATAGTGTTAATGATAAGTGTAATTACAACACAGTTGTGGAAGGAGGTCCCCCCATGTATGGGGACAGTGTGTGTGGGTTGTCTTTGTCCCGGAATGAACAAAAGGCCAGTGGGGAGGGTGCAATACGACCCCCTCTCCCCAACAAGCTCTGTGCCAAAATGGCATTTTTGAGTGACAAGTTATGTAGCAATTGTCTGAGGCCACGCTGGAACACCCAATTCCTTAATTATGTAGTTTCAAGTTTTTTCTTTGTTGTTATTTGGGTGTAGATATTGCTGTGGTAAACACTTACCTGTGTATTGCTTTTTTAAAAACCAGATTTATTGGTGCTTTACTACATTCTGGAGGTAAAATCAGAGGTAAGTGATGGCTGAGTCTAAGGTATTCAATACATTCCCTGCGATTCTAGGTTAGCAGAGCCCAGTTGTTTTACTTTTTAGAAACTTGAGCCATTAAAAAATTTTAATGTATCGATGAACCACTTATTTTCGGAGGAAATCATTATATTGGGTAGATAAAGGCTCACCTTGTAAAACGGGAAGAGTTTGGCTAAGTATTTGCTTATTTCTTGCAAACTTTCGGGAACCGAGAGACGGAACCTCTGGTGCAATTACTTGTCCTTTGGCGCCCCCTTCTGGAGTATTTGCTCACCAGCCCGCGGCCCCTCCCAGGGCAGATGCCGGAAAGGAGGCGGAAGGGATTGGCTGACAGAAACCGTGAGTTGGGGGAAGCCAGTTCACCTGCCACTCAAAGGCCGAGTCTACACATCTGTCCTCTTTTAGAGTAAGGGGCGTTTCCACATTGCCGTCAATTGTTTCCTTGTCCCTACCACCTGTCTCTCACCTCCCACCCATCACCCAAACCACCCAAAATCCTGAGCACAGGAGAAAGTCGCCTCCCCGGTTTGCATACAGGGTCCTGTGCATTTACCCCCACCTCCTCTCCAGCCCTGCTTCTCCTAACTGCTCCTCCCAAGCCCGGTGGACACCTCCCCTCCTAGCAGGCCGCCCTCCTTCGTACCACCAAGCCTTGGGCTTTGCTGGTCCCTCTGTCTGGAGTGCTGGTCCTCTGTGATCCTCTTTGCAACAAAATCTTTTCTTCAAGTCCCACCTAAAGTGCTGCCTCCTAAGGAAGTCTTCCTCAACTCTCCAGGCAGAAGGTGTGCCTTCCTGTGTGCCCAGGGTACCCTGTTTGTGCCCCTAAGTTAGTAGTGTTCACCGTGCGAGACTGTCCCCTCCACTCATCCCACCCTGGGAGCTGGCCGCGTGGCTTACTCATATTGCCTAGAGAGTCCTGGGACACTGTAGGTCCTCCAGAAATGCTTGTCAGATGAATGCATGCTTCATGGCCTTGGGGTCATGGAGTCTGGGGGTTCACTCACTGAGGGAGGACATCCAAGGAAGGTGTACTGGAGTTGTGTGTGTGACCCCACCCAAGCCGAGGCAGGGAGCTGGATGACCTCGAGTCCTGGTGTGGATCTGAGGTCAAGCTCTGGGGGGAGGTGGGTCCCTGAGACTGGCTGAGTTAATCTTAGGGAGCATGTGCCAAGTGATGCCATCTCAGGAATGCAATTAAGACTCAGCTGTGTTGATGAGGAACCCCTGAGGAGTCATGGCAGTGGCTGCTGTAATTGGAGGCAGTGAGGGTGGGCAGGGAGGGGCCCTGAGATAAGGTGGGCAGGAAGGAAAATCAGGAGATTCTTGGAGGAAGGGCCCCTGCTGGGAGCCGGACCACAGGAGGTGCTGCTCTCTCCTCCCAGATTCTCCACGGTGTCCAGCTGCTCTGCCCCCACACCTGCAGAGTTGACCCCAGTCCCTCTGCTCTCAGAAGGGCCCAGCTGCCATGACGGACACAGCACTAGAGGAATCCCTCTTCCAAATCATCCACAGCTACCACCAGTATGCGGCCCGCGAGGGTGACGTGGAGACCCTGTCCCTGGAAGAGCTGAGGGCCCTGCTCATGGACAACGTGCCCCGCTTCATGGACAGCCTGGTGTGTGGGCCTGGGGTCCGGTGGGGACGCGGGAGAGGGCTGGTTGCGGGGCTGAAGTGAGGGTTTGGTGCAGGGAGCCATCTCCCTGGAGGATCTGCCCTGCGGGGCGGGGGAACGCTGAGGGCAGGATCTGTGGTCACAGGGAGGTGGGCCCTGCTGACTTTATCTCCAGGACCTTCCTGCCTGGCCCCACTCCAGCCCAAATGTTGCTAATCCCTGAAAGTCCATTCTAAACCCAAACCTGTTTGTTCTCTGCTGGTTCGCTTCCCGTGAGAGCAGGCCCTAAACTCCCCCTCTGCCTGTAGGCCTTTCAGTTTTTCATCCCACTGGACCTGCCCTTTGAATGCAGCCCCTTTTCCTGGGTCTCCCACAAGCCCCACCCTACCCCCCAAACCCCCAAGTTTGGGGAGGAGAGTTGGGTTAAAGGGAAGCCAGGAGGGAGTAGGTGTGGGCGGACAGGACGTGTGGCTCCCCCTTTTCCCTCTTGTCCCCGGGCTAGTCGCAGCCCAGCCTGGGGGCCCAGCCCCAGTCTAGGCTGCTCGGACAGCCCGCTCAGGCCTGGGAGTCCTCTCTGCCATCAAGCCTGGCCCTGTGATTACTGGGCTCCCTGGGGACTTCAAGGCCAGCCGGAGTGTCTGTCTCCGTACCATGCCCTAGGGGTCCCCAGAGGACTCCAGTGGCCCTGACTCAAGGCCACTGCACTCCAGGAGAAGCAGTCTTAGGGTCCCTGCTTGTCTCCCCTGGCCTGCCTTTGAGAGACATCAGAGAAGAGGGTCTCGTCCTGGGTTTACTGGAATGCAGCCACGAGGGCCACACAGAGTGGGGGCTGGGGGGACTGTGAAGAGTCCCCTGTTTCGAGGGAGAGCTTTTCCCTTCTAGGGCCATTTGCCTACATCATAGGGCTGTGTAAGGACAATCATGCCCTGACACTCACCTGGGAATGGGGTCCTCAGTGACAGACACCAGGCACAGGGTAAACAGACGGCAGCCTGGGCCGGGCAGGCTGAGTGCGGGAAGCCTGGGAGAGCCTGCCCTTGGCAGGGAGCCTCCAGGTTCTCGGGTCAGCCAGCTTGTGGAGGAGGCGGAACGTATGGAGTAGCTGGTGGAGGGTGGTGGGCAGAGACAGAAGGTGCCAACCTGCCAGCCCCCTCCCCCTTTACAGATCCAACAACTCCTCCCTCCGCCCGCCCACCCCCTCTCTGAGGGCTGCTCACTGGGTGCCCGGCCACCAGCCCAGTCCTGCTGAAACCTGCTTCACTGCCCCTGCCCGGGGCTCCCACCTCGTCTTCTCCTTTTCCGTCTCTTTGCTGCATCTTTACTCCCCAACTTCCTTCCTACCGTCCCATCCACCTCAAATGCTCCTTTCTTTTCCTTAGCCATCCCCAGTCCTAGCCCTCAGGGCCACCTGCTCTGGGGCACCCCGATAGTTCCAGGGCCCGTGGCACAGTCTTTTCCCTCGTTCTGCACTTTGCTCAGGACACAGGCCAATTGTCAGAAACAGTTGTGGGGCAGGTGCACACCCTGCAGAAATCTGACACCACAGGTGCGGGCCGTGCAATGGCGTTGGAGGTGCAGACAGGAGGGTGTGTGGGTTGGGGAGAGGTGCTCCCTGGGGCTGTCCTTGCAGGAGAGCTTGTAGTTCAGCAGGGGAGACAGACTTAAAATGCCACCAGCAGAGGGCCAGGCACTTGGCCCTGCTCAGCCACTGTGGATGGTCTGCACCTTCTGTCTGCCCCATGCAGCCCAGGTCCCGGTGCCCAGCACCCCTGTGCCTCTTCTGCCGGGTTCTGCAGCACACGGTGTCCTGGTCCCTGAGTGAGTGAGAAGCTGCTTCCTGCAAGCACCTGGCAGGCAGGGCCACACACAGTTCCCCTGCTCTGGTCCTTCATCGGTGGGAGGTGGGGAGCCTGGCCAGCTGCTCGGGCCAAGTGCCTGGGTGTTGGCTGACCCTCTGCCCACTCCCCAGGGCCGGAAGGAGCCGTACTTCATCACTGAGCTGTTCCGGGCGGCGGACAAGGACAAGGACAACCAGATCTGCTTCGACGAGTTTCTGTACATCCTGGGCAGGCTGCTGAGGGACTACCACCTGCAGTACCACCGGCAGCTGTGCGCTCACTACTGCACCCAGCACGGCCTCTACTAGACCTAGCAGGGCAGCCTCCCTCAGGGGCCTGCCTGAGAGCCGCGTGACCCAGCAGTGGGCGGTGGAGCGGAGCTGGGCCATGCGTGTCTGTGTGTTCCTGATGTGCGTGCACACGCACCTGCATGTCTGCGGGAAGGACACCTGGGGGGGAAGAGAATAAAGCAACTGCACAGCAGTTTCTGGTGTTGCTTCATTCATGGTTAGGGCATCGGCGACGGGTCTGTGAGGGGCGGTTGGGATCCCCCAGGGAGGGGATCATCTATTTTGGGTGAGAGACGCAGCCCCTGTCTCCAGGGGCCCCTGTCTGAGGGGTGGACAGCCCCTGCTCTCAGCCTCCCTCCGTCTGAGAGGCAGGGGTCTCTTCTGTTGGGGGGCTGACCCTCTGACACGGGATGTTTTGGTCACTGAGTCACCACACACACGTGATGGGACAGGACAGGAGGGCAGGGGCACAGCTGACAGGGGCCCTGGTTTGGAAGGTCTCCGGGCTCTGGATGAGGCCCCAGGGATCAGTGTAGAAAGGCAGGGCAGCCTGGGAAGGGGCCAGAACAGGGCGGGAAGATGAGGCTGGTAATAGAGCGGGGCTGGCGGGCCTGCGTGGAAGTGCAGGTCGAGAGGTGGGTTTTGTGCCTGCTGAGTCAGAGATGGGGACAAGGGCAAAGCCAGCAACCCAGCCTGTTACAGGGAAGAGCACGGAATGCAACTGGGGTGACTGTCAATCAAGGAAGTCTTCCTGGAGGAAAAAGGGTTGTGTCTGGTTTTACTAATAAAAAATGATGATACATGTGGGTGTCTCTCCAGCTCAGGGCTACTTGTGACTCACTCATCCAAGTCCTCCTGGGGCCTCGACCCCTCCCAAGGCAGACCTGCCCCTGCCCTGTCTCTGTGTGGTCTGTTTCGCTGTCACCCCGCGGGCCCAGGACTCCGAGGCAGAACCTCTCTGGGAGGGCCTCCTCCGCCTCAGGCCCTGCTGGGGCTCCTCTCGGTGGGTTCTCTGAGAGCCCTCTGGGAGCCTGTGTCCTGAGCTCACTGTGGCGGCAACGATGAGTTTTAAAAGAATGATGGGCCATTCATTGTCTTCATTGCTCCCTGGTACACAAGACTTGGGGTTCATTTAAGGGAATTGGCTTGGCTCCCTGCCCCCTGACCTGGGTCTGTGTGCCACTGAGGGCAGCAGTGCCCTGTGGGCTGAGCGGGGTCTTTCTGATCAGCCAGGCTCGGCCGCGGACTTCTCCCTGCCACTCTCTAGGCGGGCCCACCGATGTCACTTCCGCAGGTGCTCGTCTGCCACGGCTCGTCTTCTGGGACTCAGCAGGGCCCTCACCCACCTCCCTCTTGGCCTTCCTGGGTTCCCTGGGGCCTGAACGATCCCGTGGAGGTGCATGTCCTGCTGCATTGCGATGGGTTTTCTGTGTGTGTCCTCCACCGAGCCAGGGGCCACTTGTCACTTGGGTGTCCTCCCACAGGGCCCAGTGCTAGCTAGCACTCAGTCGGAGGTCAGCCATGTTGGAGGACGGAACACAGAAACCTGACTGGAGTCCCTGTGGGCCGCGTCCGTGTGTCCAGAGGCCCAGGCTGTCCTTCCCCGGGCCCCGGGGTGGATTCCTCCTGTTTTTCTCACCTGAACCGAGTTGGATTTCACAGGCTAAGGGGGCAGCTCAGCCAAGTCCTCCTTCCTTCTGCCCCTTCCTGGGGAGATTTCTTCACTGCCCTACCTGCACTGTCCTGATTTCGTCAGGTGAGGCCAGGCCCCTCGGGTCTGTTGGGACACAGACAGGATGGAGCTCTTTCCTGTAAACAAGCCCAGGTTCCGCTCCCCCAGGTTGCCCCATGTCCCGCAGTCTGATGACAGGCCCTGCCTTGCCCCCAACACGCTTACCCAAGCCCCAACACCCTTTCTCACCTGGGCGGCTCAGCCTGGCTGCCGCCCTCCCTGCCCCTCCCAAGGGATGTCAGGAGCAGCGTCCCTGGGGGTGGCAGTTTCTGGCCTCGCTGGTCAGCAGGCGCCCCAGACGAGCCCTGGACCCTGGAAGGAGGCCAGGGCTCACGTCTGCCTTGAGTCTCCCTCACCAGGTCTGGAGAAGAAAGCTGTCTCCGCAGGGACCGTTCTGAGGGGTGGCTTCAAGAAAGGCATGTCTCGAAGAAGTCACCACACTGAGAGAGGTCAGCGTGAGCTCCATCTTGGGCTGCTGAGCAAATCCTAAGCAGAGGCTCATAAAAGCCAGCTTGTTGGTTCTAATGTCTACATTTTTGTCACCTAAGCACCAAAACAGAGCAGAACACATGCCCACAGGAAGGATCCTGAGTAACTCCCTGTGCCTCAGTTTCCTCATCTGTCACATAGGAATAATTGTACCTGTAATATCCATTTTACAGGGTTTCGAATGAGTTAGTGGGTGTAAAAACACTTTGAAAATATAATGTGCGACTTGAGTAAGGTGGTGTTATGTAGGTCACGGAGGAGAGGACCCGGTGAGTAACAGGTATGCACTAAGTTCTCGATACCAGGTTGAAAACGTGGTGTGTACGCCAGAAACAGTCATACCTTCCTGTGAAGAGGTTGACCAACCTCCTGCCGAGGAGGTCAGGCTACATTTGCTTGGTGGATCTACATCTTGTCTTGTTCCAAAAATGACTTAAGGGGACTAGGGTGTGATAAAGGGAATTCCTGCACGGGGTAGGGGTGGATCGCGTGTTTGATTTCACATTCATTTATACCCCCGGTGGGTGGTAGCTGAACACCACGTAGGTACCAGGCCCTGAGGTTGTGATATGGTTTCTGGTCTCAAGGAAAAGACAGGCAGTAAGCAGATGAATCTGAGTACAGCAGGCCACATGCTGTGATGAGTAGGGATGTGAGCAGCACGAAGGACAGAAGAGCTAGCTCGGTGTCTGTGAGGGTGGAGAAGGAGGCTCGGGGATGGACAGGGGTGGCCAGCAGATGGTGTCTGCGCTGGACCAGGGAGGATGAGGAGGGATTTACTGGCAAAGAGGCATTCCAGGCAGGAGCAGGAAATAGATGGTGTCACAACATGTCATAAATCACCTAAATCATTTGGTGCATTGAATGTTGTGTCTCTCTGTGGGCCTCAGCTTCCTCATCTGTAAAATGGAAATTGTGGTAGTACAGCCCTCATGGGATTGGATTAGTGGGAGAATTCGATGGATCCATGTAAGTAAAGCACTTACAACATCAAGTGGCACATTGTAAAAGCCCAATAAACACTATGATTTTGCTGTTATTTGTTCTTATTATTGATCATTGTTGCTGTTGGTGTGTGTACCAGGCACCATGCTGGGTCTGGGGTGGGCAGAGGGGATGGTTCAGTCTGGGTCCCTCCCTGAGGGTTCACAGTCCCGCTGGGCGTCGGGGGCGCCCTCGGCCAGGTGTTGCTGGTGCGCCCCCACGCGGTGCTACACAGCACTCCAGGCACTTGCTACAGTATTTTGTGTAAACTTTTTATTAAAATGTCATGCATATTAATAAAAGTATACAAATCATAAATATTTTGCATCTATTATTAATCTTTACAACATTATTTATTTTTAGGTGAAAACCTTTAAATTTTTTTATTTTATTTTTATTTGAAAAAGAGTTTTGTTGAGATGTAATTGACATTCAATAAGCTCCTTATTTTTAATTGTGGCAAAATGCACAGAACATAAAACTGAGTGTCTTGACCATTTTTAAGTGTACAGTTCCCTCACCAGAACTAAAACTCCATACTCGACAAACAACAGCTCCCCCGCTGTCCCCCAGCCCTGGCTCCTACTATTCTGTTTTCTGTCTGTGACTTTGACTACACCTCGTAGGTCATATAACTGAAATCACAGAGTATTTGTTCCCCTTATTTCACTTGGCAGAATGTCTTCAAAATTCACCCATGTTGTAGCATGGGTCAGCTTTCCCTTCCTTTTCTTTTTTTTATTTCTCACCCCTAAGGAATCGATTTTTGAGAGAGAGAGAGAGAGAAACAGCCATCAGTTGCCTCCGGCACGTTCCCCGCCTGACCAGGGCAGAATCCCCTTCCTTTTTAAAGGCTGAATAGTATTCCGTTTCACTCATATATATGTGTGCATATCACATTTTATTATCTGTCCATCTGTGGATGGACCTCGCGAGCTGCATCCACGTTCTGACAGCTGTGAGTGACGCTGACGGAAACACGGACGTGCAGGCACCTGCTGAAACCCTCCTTTCAGCTCAGTTGTTTCGGATGTGTCCCCGGAAGTGGGATTGCCCGATCCCACGGGGATTCTGTTTTTAATTTGTTGAGGAACCTCCATGGTGACTGCACCATTTTACATTCCCACTGGCATTGCACAAGGGTTCCAGTTTCTTCACATCCTCCCCAAAGCTTGTGATGTTCAGTTTGTGTTGACAGCAGCTGTTCTAGTGAGTCTGAGGGGCCGTGGTGAGAAGTGATGTGGAGCATCTTCTTTATGTGCCCACCGTGGTTTGCATGTCTTATTGGGAGAAGTAGCTGTTCAGATCCTTTGGATCATATTTTTTATTTGGGTTGTTTGTTTTTTGTTGTTGTTAAGTGGTAGATGTCCTTTAGATATTCTGGATATTACCTCCTCTCAGACATACATGATTTGTAAATATTTTCTCCAATTATGGTCTCCTAGAAGATAAACTCTATTTTTAATCTCTACTTAATGACTGAGGTAACTAAGGCACAGAGAGGGTAAGTAATAATGCCCAAGGTTACACAGCTATAAAGCTACTGACACAATGAAACCCAAAAGGCTGCGGAATCCTGAAGAAAGGCTAATCCCATCTATTCCTCTCCCCACCGCGCGCCCCCCGCCCCACCCCCAGCGGGCGAGGATGGTCTAGGCCCTGGAGAAGCACTATGTAAATACTTGTTGAGTTCGTGAAGGAAGGAGAGAGGAGAGGGGTTTTCCCGGCAGAGTCATGTTTTTGTCAAATTAGTCTCTGGAGCCGGAAGCCCCAGGATCTAGTCTGGCTGCTGACACATCTGTCTGTACTGGGAAACACTGGGTGAACCGCGTCACCTTTTTGCTCTCAGCTTCCTTGTTAGTGCTGGGTGGGTTCTGTTCAACTCTGTCCTGACAACCTTGTTCTGAGGCTCTAATCAGATTATAAGGGTGGGAAGTGCTTTGTAGCAGGAGAAATGCAGGAATGTACCACAAATTGTCAGCATTGGAAGCCAGTTACTCTGAGTGGCATTTTGTTGGGTTAGGGAGCAGTTTGTTCCTCCTGAAACCCTAGGGAATTGGCCACCTCCTCTTCTCTGCTTGGGCAAGAAGCATTTCTGGCTTCTCCAAAGTACCTCACCCCCATCCCACCCCCACAGAGTGGGGTCCCCTTCAGCAGAGGCTCTTGGGGTCAGAGGCACACAGTCATCTCAGAGGGGCTCAGGGGTCCCTGGAGTGCTTATGCAGAGGCTCAGTGCCTCCCACACACAGAGGGACCCCCCAGCCAGCCTTTGTCTCCCAGGCACACTGCACCCCCAGCTTCACGTGCAGGAAGAGGGGGCAAGAGGTATGGTATGGACAGCGGGAGAGAAACTGGCCCTTAGCAAGGTGTCTCTGCACAGTCCAACTGCCCACACAATGACAATAGTGGAAACACTGCACCTTTCATCACTGAAATCCAGCAGCAGCACAGGTGTCCTTAATCTTTTAGGGGTCTTTGGACCCCCTTGAGAATCTGATGAAAGCCACAGAGGAATGTGCTTATGTGCCCCCCCAAATGATGCATTCACTTCAGTTCCATTTAGAGACCCACAGACAGGCCACTATGTATGGGATTAGCAACTGTAACAGTGGGGACTCGGCAGGCAGTGTCATGGTCACCAAGTTGGAGGATGCCAGCAGCCCAGAGAAGGAGTCCTTACCATGGCCTGCATGGCTATTTCCTGGTTTCTCTTGTTGGGCACTACTGCTGGGAAAAGGCCTTCCTCTTCCTCCTCCCCTCCCCACATCAGAAATGTTCATTCTGCTGTCATTGCCCCATTCACCTGGTTAGGAAACCAGCGGCTGTGGCAACCCTGGGAGGGAGCAGCTGCCAAGCCCAGGCGCTGGCCAAGCCCAGTTGCTATAAAAGGGAGCCACCACTCAGCCTGCGTATTCCGTCAGTTCTGTCAACTCTTTCAACAAGGTTTCTGGAAGACCTGGTAAGTGGGACTGCCCTGGTCACCCCACACTTTGGGCTTCGCCAGGGGAGGGCTGGGGAGCTCAACAGCTTTCTCTGAGAGCAGGGAGAGAGAGCTCAGGGAGGTCTGGATGGAGATCGAACCTCCTGGGGAAGGAAAGTGAGACAGGGACAAAGAAGGAGCCAGACCTATAGCACTTCTGGGTGAGGGCACATTCATTTCCTAAGCTGGGCCCTTCTTGGGCAGAGGGTGAGGGCATGGAGAAAGGTGGAAGACACTACGTGTGTGTGTGCCTGTGTGTGTGTCTCCCACATTCCTCTCCGGATCAGCTGACCCCCTCCCATTGGAGCTCTAGCCATCTTGTGTTGAGTTATTGGATGGTGCAGGTCAGGACAAAGCCATTACTTGGGTTTTGAACTATCTGAATGTCCCCTTAGTCTTCACTCAGCTGTGGACAGAGGCACCATCCCCACCCATGTGCTTTCTCTTCCAGGTGAGGCATATCCTTAGGCACCATGCTGACTGAACTGGAGAGCGCCCTGACCAACTTCGTTACTGTCTACCACAAGTACTCCCTGCTACAAGGGAACGCCCATGCCCTCTACAGGAATGACTTCAAGAAAATGCTAGAGGCTGAGTGCCCTCAGTATATGAAGGTGAGGATGGGCTGGGGGTGGTCTGGTTCTCTGCCTAGCTCTGATGACGCCCCAGGGCCAATGGTCCCTCTTCTGTCCCGGGTAAATATATGTCCATTCTTCAGCTTTCACTGAGATTTTTACACTCTGCTTCTCTCTCCCCAATCTTGACAGAAAAAGAGTGCGGAGTCCTGGTTCAGAGAGTTGGATATCAATAGCGACAAAGCCATCAACTTTGAGGAGTTCCTCATACTGCTGGTCAAGATAGCCGTGGTGGCCCACAAAGAAAGCCACAAAGAAGGCCACAAAGAAGGCCACAAGTAGCATGGTTGTTGGGCACTGGCACGGGGCCCCTGTAATTGCCCCTGAAGAATAATAAAGTAATTGATACCTCAGGTCTCTCTTGGTCTCTTGCTTTTCTCTTGTGGAATGAGGTTCCTGGGCGAGTGGGGGGAGTGTTGGAAAACCCAGAGGAAAACACCAGACTTCTCCTGTCCTGCCCTCCCTGTGCCTCAAGAACATTCAGTGCTTACACTTGTCTGGTTTCCTCTCTGCATCCGCCTCAACTGGTTGAGTCTCTTTTAGCTCCAGCCCTGGGTCACTGGTTCTAGGACTTAAGGATTCTAAAAAGTTCGTGACACTATAGCTGATGATCTTCCAAGAGGGTGGAATAGAAACAGGGTGATATAAGAAACACTACTGTCCTCTAAGCTAAATTTTAATTTCCAGCTAAATGTCTTACATGAGACTCTTAGGAACCCTTGGGGAGATAACTCTGTGTGTGTGTGTGTGTGTGTGTGTGTGTGTGTGTGTGTGTGTGTGTGAAAGAGAGAGAGAAAGCGAGATGGAGACAGAGACTGGCCCTGTGTGTGGAGTGATCTCAGGTGGATGTTTAGAATCCCCCAGTAACTAACATGAATAGTTCCCACTCCAGATTTTGGAAGCTTTCCTTCTCTCTCAACTTCTAAGCTTCCAAGTCAATCAAATAATAAAAAAATGGGCAGATAGACCAATACATTAATAAAACTCAGCTTGAAGAACAGATTACTCAAATGTTGCCCTGTGGGTGAATGTTCTTTCAATCAAAGAAATATTGAAGGGCCTGGTAAATGGGAAGTTCAGAACTCAGCCCCCAGAAAGAGTTTCTTGTTGCGCCTGGGGAAATTTTCTGTTGTCCCCATTTGTGTGATGAGGCAGTAGTGTTGGTGATGGAGAAGGGGACCAGGAGCTGTCACCAGAATCTCTAAACCAGGGTTTTTAACTTGGGTCTATTATACATCTCTAAACGGAACTGAAGTGAATGCATCATTTTGGGGGGCACATAAGCACATTCCTCTGTGGCTTTCATCAGATTCTCTAGGGGGTCCAAAGACCCCTAAAAGATTAAGGACACCTGTGCTGCTGCTGGATTTCAGTGATGGAAGGTGCAGTGTTTCCACTATTGTCATTGTGTGGGCAGTTGGACTGTGCAGAGACACCTTGCTAAGGGCCATTTTCTCTCCTGCTGTCCATACCATACCTCTTGCCCCCTCTTCCTGCACGTGAAGCTGGGGGTGCAGTGTGCCTGGGAGACAAAGGCTGGCTGGGGGTCCCTCTGTGTGTGGGAGGCACTGAGCCTCTGCATAAGCACTCCAGGGGCCCCTGAGCCCCTCTGAGATGACTGTGTGCCTCTGACCCCAAGAGCCTCTGCTGAAGGGGACCCCACTCTGTGGGGGTGGGATGGGGGTGAGGTACTTTGGAGAAGCCAGAAATGCTTCCTGCCCAAGCAGAGAAGAGGAGGTGGCCAACTCCCTAGGGTTTCAGGAGGAACAAACTGTTCCCTAACCCAACAAAATGCCACTCAGAGTAACTGGCTTCCAATGTTGAAGATTATTTGCTCCAAGGCCCTGGACTTTTTACTGTACTTGTAGACTTTAATCATATGAGAATACAAATGAGCAGGCAAAGGCAACAGCTTATACCCTTATTCATTAATCAAGGCTTTAACTACCAGCCAGTTTTATTATCAGCCTACATGTTAGTGAAAATGGTGGGCAGACAGTGGAAAAGTAAGCTTGGGAACCCAAAATGGGATGAGGGGATCTAGTCATCAAACAGAGAAACTGGGCTTCTGCTGGGTGAGTGGGAAGACGCAGGGACAAAATCGCTTCCCTCTCGGTTTTCCCGAATGGGAGTTTTATCCCTCCCCCAAAGTGAGGATTTCCACCTAAGTCGGGAGTGTGGATGCGTTGCAGAAAGGGAGATCATGCAGGTCTGAGAGGCACCTTAAAGGCAAAATGGCCCAAATGTGACCCCATCAAAAAAAGGTGAGAAACATCTACAGGGTTCACCTGGCCGCATTCCGGGCCCCATTGGACCTTTAGGGGATATAATGGGAGAATATACTGAAGAGAAAGAAAGCGCACTGTTATCCACACTGGTGGTGGTGACGGTGAGGGGAGTGTGTGTGTGTGTCAGAGTAGGCCAGGGGGAAGCATGTCCCAGTGCCTTTGATTCTTCCTGAAAGTGCTCTGTTGGACTTGCTGCTCATGGATTCTTCAGGGGAGATTTATCATGATCAATTCTGTTTGCCACGTCTGACCAGAGACCATGGGGTGGGCGGCACAAAGTGCCTGTTGGAGTTTCCCTGTGAAGGATGGGCACTGGCTGTGAAGAGTTGCATTGACCTTGAGCTATCAACAGGTGATACCTGAGCTCATGGTTGGGCAGGGAAGGTGACCCCACCTGAGGACAGTCCCCTGGGTGGCACTGACTACCTGGGGAAAGAGGTGGAAGGTCCAGGGAAGAGGCAGGTTTGGAGACTGTGGTTTACAAACGGAACCACACCCATTACAGGGACAATTGGGCAGAGTCAGGCTTGAGCCCAGAGAAAGGTGATTTGGGTTCCTGTTTCTCCACCTACAAAAGAAGAAGAAGGCAGTGGGAAGTTGAGAAATAAGTCATTCAGCAGGAAACTTCCTGCAACATCTGGGCTCACAAAGGAGACCTTGGCTCACCAACTGAGGCAGATCCGGCCACTGAGATTTCCGGGGCCTGTCAGGATGACCTGTCTGAATTCCTGCTTCTTTGCCCAGGTTCTCCACCCAAGGCTCCTGACTTTAGCCAGTTTCCTCACAGTTGTGACAAAAACCCTAAAGGGTATGAAGAGGATCTGGAATTGGGCAACTTGTGTTTAGCAGCTGAACAAAGGAGCTTATTCCAATGGAGAGGACTTCCCCAAACATCCCCAAACTACATGGGAGCCAAAACTATTCTGTTGGGGTCCAGAGACCAGCCCATCTTCAGGCCTCCTGACCTGGGGAATTCAGCCTAGTTCAAGTGGGCTGAAGAGGGGAGGGAAAAGTACCAACATGTACTGGGCTTCTGCTGGGTGGCAGTGTGAAAGGAAAATAGCATCCCAAACCTGGAAAAAGACAAAAGGGTGACTGCTTAAATCTTTGATCTCAGGCTAGAGTCTGTCTGAATAGAAGCAAGTCCTGCTACTTGTTAATCTTCCATTATTGAAAAATGTAAAATGTTGGTGCAGTATATTTGATTAACAACTTTCAATAGATAAAGTCAGTTTATCTGCCTGATGGAATAATATGATTGTATAACCTGGTAGAGATGGCAAACCCCTAACTGTTAGGGTTTATATCACTGTTTAAAGTTAAAAGAGTCATATATCTAACTAAGAGTCTTAATTAGGCATTTCTTTCTTGACTGTCTTTATATATTCTCAAATATTTTTAAACCAGCTTTAAAAAACCTGCTGATTCTCTTATTAATGAAATAAAACAACAATTTGGACATGGGCCCACTAAATCTGTTGATGATTTTGCTTCTCAGACTTTGTGGCAGTTTATCTCATGTATTTTTTGTGACCCCTCTGAAAGAAGTCATTACTTTTTCTGTTTTGTGCATGAGGAGATTCAGAGAGGCTGAGAACTTTGACAAAATTTACTAATCTGGCAAGTAGCAGAGGGAGGGGTGGATCCCTTACTGTTTCCAGGCTCAAAACCCCAATTAAGACACTGGGAAAGCTCTCTTTTCCACCCTGTGTGTGTGGAGGGCCTGTGCTTTCTCTGCTGCCCCTTGGTCCTTGCCTCCTGCATGAGTCCTGCCACCATCGGGAGGGATACAACAAAGCACAGCAGGTGCCAAGGGCCTCTCCCTGAGCTTGTCTCTGGGGCCTCTCCCTGTCTAGGACTCACCACGTGTGGCTCAGGGTCTGAGCTGTTGTCGGTTGTTTCCTGGTATGAGCAAGCCTCTCCACAATAGAACAGGATGATTGGCATTTTGATCTCTTTGACCTCTGAGGTGTTGTTGCAATAATAGTTTCCCCTCCATTCTGGGGTGGGGAGTCTTTCTTCCAGTCTTGGGAGCGGTAGAAGTTTCCAGGTGTGCAATTCTTTGATTTGTAAAATCACGGTCTGAATGGGCTCCTAAGGCCAGGGCAAGAACCTTTAGCAACTCTTTCAAATGATCTGACCCACCTCTTTCAGTGAACAGGAGCCCCCTTCTCTTCCTGCTGAAAAGGTGTAATTAGTGGCAGAAAGCATGGAGCTCTCCTGCAGCCAAAGCTCATCCAGAGATCTTCATCAGCCTGGTCCAGCAAGGGCTCCGTCCAGTTCAGCTTGCTCAGCATCTTCTTTGGCTTTGGCATATTCCCCCTTGTGCTTTCTAGAGCAAAATATTTAACATAAAAAAGATGCTAGGGATTTCTTTCCTATGTTTGTCCTAGACCTTTCATGATAAGGTGTATCTATTAAGACCTAACTGTAAACATCACACTTGATGGAAAAAACATTAGATATTTGTGTTTAATGACAAGAAGAGGACAAGGATGCTCCCATTACCACTTCTATTCAGTATCTGTATTGGAGGCCCTAGCCAGTGTTATAAGATAAGAACAATAAATGGAAAGAAATGGGAGCTTTGGAGGCTCTAGTGGCTCTGGCCACATGAAGTGAATGTGCTCCCATTTCTTCATTTCATTGCCTCCTTCATTTCTCCTTGTGAATAACAGCTGCTCTTGACCACTTTTTAGAAATGTACCCCTGCTGGATTGGACTTAGTTCTTCCCATGAGACTAGTAATATGATCCCTGAAAAACACGCTTGCTGGTATCTCTTAGTTTTCTCTGTGGGCTGAGTGGCCTTTTCCATAGCTATACCTGGACACCCAGGCTTGGACCAGGAAAGATGCTGCCATGCTCTCAGACCTGGAGACATCGGCTACTGAGTCCTCCCCTGTAGGAAAAGTTCGGAAATTTTGAAATTCACAGTCCAAGCTACTCAAACATCGTTTCTCATGCATTTCCCTTTTCTGATGCCTATTTTGGGTTTCACAGAGAATAACGTTCCAACAAATTCAGAAAACGCTTTATTTGCTTTCTCTGTCCTCTAAAATATTC